CTTCAGAAACTTTAATCTGTCTTCTCTTCTCCCACGAAATTAAAAGGCTAAAGCTTGTATAGTGTATGTCGTAGCTTTTTCCTACTTTACCAAAATGCAGGAGAGGAGCATCTGACGGCCAACCCCGCAACAGCAAGAACAGCCTCGCAACAGTTCCATTAGACCAAAGACCATCATCATCATTAGATTTGCAAAATTTTCTGGAGCAAAGGCTCCTCCCCAATAGATGCTTACAGTTCGGCTTACTGTTCACCATTCTTGTAGTTGTGGCCTATAAGCTGCAGCACAAAAGTTAAAAAGAACACCTGTACCATAACCATAACCTTGTTGGCGGGAGATTGCTGAAGGCGGAAAAGTTGGAAATCAATCATGGGAAATCAATCAAGAAACTTACCTTGTCAAGAAACTTACCTTCGCTGCATCAATTCAAAGACAACGGTCACAAGGTCTCAAGGCTATAAATTCCTCTTTCAGCAGTTGATCAATTATCTTTTGTAAGTGGGCGGTACAGGGCTTTTTACATTAGAGGGTTAATCGGAACAGAGGAATAGGATCTGTTCGATTAACGGTGTAACGGGTCTGGAATTGGGACCTGGGCTGAAGCTTTCTTCTGTGCTTTTGTTGTTCGTTGTGTCTGCAAGTTTGCTTTCTTCTTTTTGCTTGATAGGATTAAATCAAATAAAAACAGAGTCTCCTAGACCTCAGTGTGGTACTGAGTCTAGGACGAGAACTGACCCGGTAGTTTGGGGAACCTCGTTAAAAATCCTTGTGTTCTTCTTTGCTTTCAGTTCTTCCCTTCTTCGCTCCCCTGTTCTGAACTTCTCCCCTGCTTCTGATTCTCTTCTCTGCGAAGAAGAAGAAGACTTGGTTAAGAAACTGAAGCCAGTGGGCTTTAAGTTCGGGCTTAAGCTATTTGCTTTTGGGTGGATCTGTCTGATCTCCTTTGGGCTTATTTGGTCTTAAGCCCAACTTCTCATTTCAAGAGAACCAAGAGTTTCTTCGATCAGATCAAAGACTCCCTTCCTTCTTCTTCGATCTTCGCTTTTCATTTCCAATTCCCAAATTTTCGAAACCCTAATTTCTACGCCATTCACAGGATAACAAACCTGTATAGCAAAAACCTGCTACGATTTTGGCACAAACTATATGTGTTTCGTGACATTTGTGTCATAAACTATTCAATATAACAAATCTGGCACAAACCACATAGATGCTGACTAGATTTTCTGTTAAATCCTAACGGTCAACTCGTGGTCAACATTAACGGAAAAATAGTTCGTGCCAGATTTGTCATATTGAATAGTTCAAGGTACAAATTACACTTTTTAAATAGTTTGGGCTTTCTAGTGGAATTAGCACTTTATACATTCAAGTAATGGGTGGTAAGAACTCATTTACAGATTTGCAATTCGGTATTAGGAATTAGATCTTTAAGCATTATAACAAGTACTTAAGGACTTAGCCAAAAGAAAGAAAAAATATATGTGCATTGCTATAGTAACAGAACCCTATTTTCCAAATGAGCAATAAAATATTGACAAGAATATTCAGTAACCATGAAAATCTAATATAGAAGCACCTTGAAAATGTTTTTTTTATAAATGCACGCATTCAATAGAACCAATCATTCTTGAATAGCCATGTTGTGCACCATGATCAAGGAGGCGACTAGCATCATCCGAAAAATGAAAACTAATACCAATTACATTAATTAAAAGGTGAAACTGGAAAAAACCGCCGGACGGATAATGGTTTTCCGTTAGTTTGAGAGAGGTGGATTGGGCCACTTCTAATGTGCCACTAGGTTTGAGTTGGGATTTTATGAATTATGTCACTGTCACATTAGCCATGTGAACCAATTAAAAGTTACGTTATCGGTACCGCAGGTTTTATAGCAACATCTTATTACTCCCCTTTATTCTCTCAAAGAACAAATGAATCATAGTCCCCCGCCCCCCTTTGTGCATATGCCCTTGGCTGCTTATAAATGGGTGTTAAAAAATAACGTGTGGTTATATTCGTGAATCCATGGTACTCGTACATTCATTCGTGTGTTAAGTTTGAATTTCTCTTTCAAGATCTTGTAGATATTTTCTTCCTTTTTTTATGGATGCGCCCTTTCTATTGAATTTGAGTTTAGAGAAACCCGACCTATTGTCCTAATGGAGAATGCATTTAATCTACTAGAAAACAAAATTTTCTATTTATATTTACAAAAATATCATGGTGAATTCTTTTTATAGTTGTAAAATAGGATAAAATGGAAATATGATAAGATTATATTTACAAAAATATATGAAGGGCCCAACCGGGTTCGAACCGATGACCTCTTGATCTGCAGTCAAATGCTCTACCACTGAGCTATGGACCCTGAATGTATATTATGTAATTTTATTATTTATTATTGCGTATTAACAAAAAAGTGATTTAACATATTTTGATTATCTCAGACTCAGAGCATAGTTAGTAAATACCCGTATATGTATCCGTACGTATTTTATCCGTTAAAAAATTCTGTATCCGTATTATTATCAAGCCGTTTCATTTCCCCCCGTTTATTTGATGGCTCACGTACTAAACACATATAAAACCCGTATAACACGTTTAATATATGTATTTAATGAATTAAATTGTTAACTTTACTATTATTTATATATATTTTTTTATTTTTAAAATAATTAATTTTATATATTTATGACTATTAACGTACTATTAAACATAATATTAACTTAGAGACGAAGTAAAATACCCGTTTGTATTATATACGTAGCTCAGAGTGCGATCTTAATGAAAGTCACAAAAATGTAATATTGAGAGAATCTTTAATAATTTAATAGTGTTTCATTTTCTGAAAAATGGGATATTAAAAGACCAAGAGTCAAGAGTATTAAGCATTGTATCTCAGAGTATCACTCCTTGCGGGATTAAATATACTAACATAGCATACAAAGTTTGTGCTTAATTGATGACTTTTATCAGTACTTCCTTTGTCACATTCGAAAGTAATTTACTCTTACGTATTTTTATCTTCTTTCGTATGGTATCAATGAGTTGTGAGAATACTTCCTTTTCGATTAATTTCCATTATATTTTTTTTTTCTCCAAACATAATTTAAGAAAATATAAAATCATGAATGTCCAACACAAGTATAGTTATACACCCTACTATACATTCTCTACGTATTCTATATGGCCTCATTATCAATATTAGTATGATCAAAAGATGACCAAAACCTTGGTACTCTTATCTCTATCAATTTATATTCTTTGGTTCCATTCAAGAAAAAGCTCCATCCTTGGGCTTACTTACATTATTGTAGAAGAGTAATCAACCGCTCACACTTTTTTATAGTTAATGTGGTTAGGATATAACCATTCTTAGCTAACACACTAATGCAAGCAAACCAACAACTAAAAGTGAACACTTGTCCCCCTCCCCCCTACATTCCATAACTAGCTCCTACCCTTTTGCTCTTCCTAACCACTCTTCTTCCCCTTTCTTTCTTCTCTTCTCACCTCTTTCAATATTGAATGCATGCTCTGTCTCTCTACCATAGTTATCAACTTATCATACCGATATTCTATTGGCGGGCTCAACTGGTATCGGTCACCAAATTAGCTGGAAAATGGACCGTTTTTCAATTTTGATCAAATCAATCAATGCCTTTCGAATTTGGAAAAACCAATCAGTCGATTAGAAACTGGATTTCAACACTGCCACACATGTTCTCCAAAAACAAACACAAACCATGAAATTTGAACCAATTACCTTATGTTGACTAATTTCAATTATACACCAGTATGCTACAAGAAATTTCGTAATATATATCAATCTTATATATATTATATATAAAGCAACACAAACATTATTAAAATTAACTTTATATTTGTTATTTGTTGCATATCTAGTTGTGAACTATGAGTTAACATTTCCTCACCACAAATTATATTGTGTGAATTAACTTTTCTAACTGCTTCATGCTAACTAATTTATTTGATGTTAATGATTTTCTATGTTACTTGTGCATTATATTACAACCGACATAAACAAAGTGTACCGTGTAACTTACTCTACTGACACACTGGTTTAAACTGGTTTAACATCTTTGCCTTTTGACATGTGTCCCAATTAATAATACTTCACCTGCTTGCTACGTATTCACTAGTAATATATTCTCTCTCCGCCTCTGACCCAAGTTTGACCCTGCTTCTCCCCTCAAATCGACCCAATCCACTCCCCAATCCCCATGCCACCTCCCCTGCTTTCCAATGTGCTCCTCGATTCTGACATGGAAGCACATCTCGGGGATTTCGGGCTCGCCAAGTCTGTGGTGGAGTTTTACGACACCACCACTACCACTGAATCGAATTCCTTGTTTGCTTTGCTGGATCTTATGGCTATATTGCTTCGCTGGTTATCGAAAAGTGCCTGTTCAATTTGGGTAAGAGTATTACCACTATGTTGAAAATAAGATCCGCAATTGTAGTAGTATTAGTCATAATCTTCAGTGATTGTTATTGTGACAGATCATCAGTGAAACTCAACATTCGACATGTTCCAGAGATCCCCATAATCTTCATGAATAGATTACAAGCTACAATCATATCACAACTACAATACATCATTCCATGGCTTTCGTTATTTCATGAAATGCAAACGTGCATTTGGACAATCGGGCTTAATCATACTGCTGTGCAGCGTCAAAAACTACAGAAGCAGAAGAAAAGAAAGGCATGAAAATGAATCTGATACAGCTATGTGGATATTCTAATCGTTGCCTCTCTTTATTCACAGAAAATGCGAAATTCACCAGTCCGGCTTGAGGAATGAGGGAAACATTGGAACTGTAAAACTTAACAATCTTAAAACTACAACAGCACAGATACATTATTAAAGCTGACACAGCCATGCATGGACATCTGTTCGAGCCAGAATTCTTTAGGAAAATAGAAATACCGCTTGAAGGAAGGAAACTCGAGGACATCGAAGCAAAAAAACATTAATCATCGTCTCCCTCTGCAAGAATAAAGGTACTTGTAAGCCTATATAAGGTGTATGCTTAATAGAGAATATATAGATCAAACTGGAGAAGCACTTCCAAGTTCCAAGTAATATATCAGTCAGTAAAAGACACCTCTTATAGTGGCATGAATCAACATGCAGAAAACCATGGATTAGGAATGAAAGAGACTGAACATCTATCAAATACATTCTGGTTTCAATGATTGGATCCAATAAAACGTCGATCAATTACATCTCCATGACATGTCTGGGGAAGTAAAATGAAGCATAACTTTACTAGTGATATAGATAAATGATTTTAAGTAAATGGCTAAGCTAGCGAGATGGACACTTTAGAAAACATCAAATCCAAATCCATTAGTAAGGGGGGGCATAAAGGGGCTAGACCAAAACCTTCCTATAACCAAATGTCTCCCGACAGGCGATAACTGAGGAACAGAAAAGGTAATTTAGAAATAAAATTGAACATTCAACACTACAATCAGACCATTGAAGGAGAATCAAACATCAACTATCAAATTGGAATCAATCAACTTCCCCTTTGTTACACGTCTATTCATCTTTCTTGTACCTAATCTTACGAATAATTCACTAACTCAGTGATAGATACATGATTCCAGTTACTGGCTAAGTTTGTGAAATGGACTCTATAGACAGCACTAATAGCAATTCCATTAATCCAGGAATCTGCGAAAATCTTCCTATCACCAAAATGGTCTCGATTAAGAAGGCAAAAGGGTAAGTGCAGATGAAAAGGCACCTGCTAAGATCTAAGTTTGTGATGGGAATAGTTAAAGAGAACAAAAGAAGCAGGCTGTCAAAACGCCACAAGCATGATCGTCCTTTCAGCTGATACCCAGCACGTTAAGTTTATTGAATGAGACCAGTACGTTTATGTTCTACATTGCCCTACAGCTCCATGAATGCATACACAGTCTTGCTCTCATGTCATTCAAAAACCAAACCATAAACTCGGTATTAACACCTCTAATTAGAAACCCAACAGCATAAAGGACGAACATATTCAACGAACGACCCACTTCGACCTCTGACAGAAAACCTAATTCCTCAATTGAAAAAGTAGTGAATTCCCAAGAGGCGTGCAAGAGAGTAAAAATGTTGAGAAATTGCTGAAAGGGATAGAGATGGAGAGAAAGAAGATAGAAATGGTACCCAGGTAGCGGCGCTCGTTGGCAGCTTTAGCCTTCTCGAGCATCTTGTCGAGGTCCTGCTGAAGTTTTTCGTCCCATTTCACAAGCTGGTTCACAAACACCACCCCCAATCCCATTCCGACGACATGCTCCCATGGATCTACAAGGCTCGAGAAAGCAGTAGCGAATTCAATCCCCCGCAAGCAAGGTAGAAAAGGGAAATTGTAAAATGGAGCGCCCAAACTCTCAAAATTAAACAGACGAGACAATCAACACATACGGCGCATATAGGGTAGCTTTCGCAGGGCGTTGGAGTACATCTGGGTGCCCAATCCCAGCAGGGCACCGATCATCGTCGCGCTCCACGCCATCGTCTTCTTCTTCTTCTTCGTCTCCCCTTTTCCCACTCCTCGCTGCCGGCAGAGCTCTCTGTTCTTGTTCAGTGATTCCTTTACATTTTCTTCTTCGTATCGACGCACATCAAAGGGACAAAACACCCCTTGATCTTGCCACGGCAGTGGTCTTTTGCTGTGGGCTTCCCTTTCGATGCTGAAATAAAAAAGCCCAATTGAAAATTGTACTACTCGCTGCCGCTGGGTAGAAGCTGATATCCGGCCTGTCTTTTTTTTTTTTCATAGATATTTTAAAAAACTGCAGATATAGTATACAAAAATGAAGCTTTTTCAGGCTGAAACGGAAAAGAAGGGACGTCAATCGACCAACCATTGATCAACATAATAGTGTTGATCAGTATCAAAACACTAAACGTATACGAAAACAAAGAAGAAAACTCGACACACGATTTACGTGGTTTCCCCGATATCGGGACTAGTCCACGGGAGAGCTAGAACTCTCCGAGCTATAAGTCTTATTAGGTTTTCTTGGTTTCCACCGTACATTCTCTATACATATATATAGTCTCTTAACCCTAGCATTCACAATCCACTAGTAGGGCTTAAACACCATCGGCCATTCTCACTTAATGACCGATTTACACATGGGCTTAAAAGCCCAAGGCACAACTCGCTAACAGCCTCCCCCAAATTGATGCTGATCCCTAAGCATCAATTTGTTCGAAAGAAATGAATGGCGGGCACGATGAAAAGGTTTAGTAAACATGTCAGCAAGCTGAGCAGCAGAAGCAACATGGCGGACAACAAGCACCCCCTCCTGAACCAAATCCCTGACATAATGAATATGAATCTCGATATGTTTCGTTCTATCGTGCAGGACCGGGTTGACCGCAATCTGAATAGCGCTCGTATTATCCACATGAAGGGTGACAGGGGAAGGACAATGAACACCCAAATCAGCCAGTAACCGCTGCATCCAAACAAGTTCTGAAGCAACATCAGACATTGCTCTATACTCAGCCTCAATAGAGGACTTTGATACTTTATCCTGCTTTCTGCAGCGCCAGTTGATAAAAGTGCCACCAAACTGAACACACCAGCCCGTAGTAGAATGACGGGTATCCACACAACCCGCATAATCGGAGTCCGAATATGCCTGCAACCGAAAATCACCAGTAGATGGGAGAAAAAGACCAACATCCCTAGTACCCTGAAGATAGCGAAGAATCCGATGGACAGCGGCTAAATGATCAACCCGAGGATCAGACATAAACTGACTGACGACGTGAACTGCAAACGAAATATCAGGGCGAGTATGCGTCAAATAAATTAAGCTGCCAACAATGTGACGGTACTGAGATGGATTAACCAGAGGAACCCCAGATTCCCGGCCTAGATGTAAGTTAACTTCCATGGGAGTAGAGACAGGAATACAATCACCAAACTGAGTCGAGGATAACAGATCAGAGACATACTTGCATTGGCTCAAGAGGATACCCTTGGGGGAACGTGTAATTTCTAGGCCAAGAAAATATGACAATGCGCCCAACTCCTTGAGAGTAAACGAGGCATGAAGACCCTCCTTTAGCCGCAGAATACCAGTCCGATCATCTCCCGTAATTATCATGTCGTCAACATACAAGAAAAGGGCAGTAAGACCCGCTGAAGTGGACCGGAAGAATAACGAAGGATCATTCCTGCTCTGCTGAAAACCCAGAGCCAACACAGTAGACTGAAATTTCTCAAACCAAGCACGTGGTGCTTGTTTGAGGCCATAGAGAGAACGTTTAAGCCGGCAAACCTGATCAGCACGACCAACAGTGTATCCCGGTGGCCGTTTCATATACACCACCTTCTTCAAGTTGCCGTGAAGAAAGGCGTTCTTTACGTCTAACTGAAACAACGGCCACCCTCGAATAGCAGCAACAGCGAGAAGAGTCCGAACCTTCTGCATTTTTGCAACAGGCGCAAAAGTTTCATCGTAATCGAGACCGTATTCCTGGCCGAACCCCTGAACAACCAGTCGAGCACGAAACCGCTCAAGACTGCCATCAGCGCGAACCTTCACTGCATAGACCCATCTATTGCCAAGAATAGTGACGGGTTCAGGAGGGTGATCAACCACCTCCCACGTGTCCGTAGCATGCAATGCATCGAACTCAGTTAGCATAGCGTTGTTCCAATTGGGATCTAGCATGGCCTGTTTATATGATGTAGGAATAGCAATGGCATCCACATGATAAGAGACAAAATCATTATTCCAGACAGGAGGCTGCCCTTTGGTGGTGCGAAGTGAACGCCGAAGAACCGAAGGAGATGCAACAGGGGTTGCGGACGAGCTGGCAGAGGAAGAAGACCCACCGGATACAGTACCATAAAAATCAGCGGAACCCTCGCTACTGGAGGAAGCGGGGGAACTGGCGCCAGGTGTCGAGGGGGCAGGCGAGTCGGGGGGGGGGGGGGGGGGGGAGTATGGGGTCTTCGGGCTCCTCTTCATCATCATCAAACACAGGTAACCTAGTCATCTCGGACACAAAGGACGATTCCTCCGAAGGAGTGGAGAAAAACATGAGACGTTCGAAGAAAACAACGTCACAAGAGATACGAAGACGCTGAAGAGACTGGTCATAGCAAAGATAACCCTTATGGATGTCACTGTAGCCGAGAAAAACACAGCGAGAAGTTTTGGATGACAATTTAGAACGCTCCTTATGAGGAAGAAGAACAAAACAAGTACATCCAAAAACTTTAAGACGAGAATAATCAGGATGCTTTTTGAACAAGACATAGTGAGGACTAAGCTGACCAAGGACGGGAGTGATCTGGTAATTAATCAAACGAACAGCTGTGGCCACCGCTTCAGGCCAAAACCGAGCTGGAACACGAGAAGCTAAAAGCAGGGCTCTAGTGAGTTCAACCACATGACGATTCTTACGCTCTACAAGACCATTTTGCTAGGAGACACCAGGACAAGATTTCTGAGTTAGGATCCCCTGAGAACGGAACAAACGGTCTAAAGGATTGGAACTAAATTCCCCCCAGGATCCGATCGGATAACACGAACAGTAGTACCGAATTGGGTCTGAATCATTTTCAAAAAATCGGTGGCAACCGAGAGAAGATCAGATTTAAGCCAAAGAAAATAGACCCAGGTAAAACGAGTGGCATGATCAACGAACAAAGCAAAGTATTCGTAACCATGACGGGAATCCGTAGGTGACGGTCCCCATAGATCAGTATGGACCAGCTGAAATGGTTCGGGAATAACGGTAGCACTAGAAGGAAAGGAGCTACGAGTTGATTTAGCTTCAACACAACTTGTGCACTGAAATTTACTCGAAGAAAAATCAACCTTTTTATTGCCGAAAAGTTGTTGCTTAAACATGGTTACAAGCCGACTCGAGTGGGGATGACCTAACCTAGAATACCACAAATCAAACTCACTAGATTCTAAGCTAGAAAATACTGGAGAACTATCCGACGAACTAGACTGAAACCGACATGACAAAGAAGAAGGAGGTTGACCCGACAATTCTTCAAGCTCGAACACACGCCCATGTTTACTCCCCCTTCCGATCTGCCTCCCCGTCTTCAGATCCTGAATAACACACCCCGAGGGGTCAAACACAACACGAAAATTCTGCTCAGTAAGCTGGCCAACCGAGACTAAATTAGGCACAAGTTGCGGAATGCATAGAGTATGAGACAATTGCATATGGGAGTCAACAACATCACCAATCCCACGCACAGATAAACGGGCCATTCGCAACCTGTATGGAACTAGATGGAACCGATTAGATTGCCTTGAATTTTTGAGAATTTCCCGTCATATGGTTAAAGCAGGCCGAATCTAAAAGCCAAGGAGGAGTGGACGTACCATCATTATGAAGGGTGGCGAATGCACTAGTGATGGAAGTCGGCAACGAACGCTGGAGAGCGGCCTGGACCAACTGCTCCACAGCATCAGCGGTCATATATTGACCGGGAGGAATCGCGGCAGGGGCTGGGGGAGCTTGCTGGGCAGCATATGCGCCGCCTGTTGTTGGCGCTCGAGAAGCTGATGACGATCCAGCGGTGCGAGGTTGAATTAGACGACAGTCTGAAATTATATGTCCTTTCTTTTTGCAATACACGCAAAAATTGCGTTGTTTGCAGAACTTGATCAAGTGACCAGCCTAATGACAATGATGGCACACAATGTCCGAGATACGACGCTGATACTGAGGCCGATTAACAGCAAAGGCTTCGTCGGCACTAGGAGGAGCTGGGTTGGGATGGTGGACAGGTCCAGCAGATGCTCTCGGAGAATTCGTCACGGCGAAGACTGCCTCTCCTGTGCCGGGACGCACATCCAGCTGAGCTTGCATCCGAAGAAGCGTTTCTTCCCGAACCAAAGTGGCGAGAATGCCATCCAGCTTGAGGTGCTCGCGTTGCAACAGATTTGCCCGAACAGACTCAAACTCAGGTTTGAGGCGACTAAAGAACTGCATCAGGCGAGTTCGTTGGCGGTCATGAATAACTTCGGCCGAGGCGATAGCGGAACATAAGGCGGCTGTAACATCCCGAACCTCGGATAATTTTTTTTCCGAAGTGGCGGACGTATATTGCACGATTCGAGACTGGAAAAAAAATCGAGAAGTTATCCTATACGAGGTAGGATCAACCAAACCACTTGAAAACTCCCCAAAACATCAAAAAGTGCAAAAAAAAAAAAAAAATAAACTGCTAGCTATAGGAATTGAACCACTGACATGTTACTTATAAAGGAAGGGTTCAACAACCTAACCAGTTGAACTATGCTGTTTTCAGTGATACAAAAGGAGCCGAGTCATTATTGAGTTAATGACGTAGGCATTGCACCAGCAGCTAGCTTGTTTATGGAGCCGGCTTTGGAACTTGAGTTTCTTCCTTTCAAAGATACTGCTCCTTAGAAGGCCGCCCCAGGCCTTTACTCCATCTGCTGGAAAGTAAATGAAGAGGTAAGAGCATGAATCAAAGAGCTCTATAATACCGGTAAG